CAAGGCAAGAGGCAACAGCCCTGGGCTGGGCCTATAGCTGCCCAAATGGCTCCGGCCTGGCCTCTGGAGCCGGGTGAGGGGCCCCCAGTCTCAGAGCTCCTACAAGTGAGAACTGGACAGACCCCCCAACCTGCACCCAGCCAATTCCCACAAATCTCCAGCCCTGTTTAGATGGGCGGCCTGTAGGCAGGCACTGTTCACAGGAAGCCTGATGTCAGTTCCTTGAGCCAGGTGGGCCCAGGAGAGACAACAATCACGAAGGAGGGCCAGGGAAGCCAGCAGTTGTCTCTGGACCCACAGTGCCTGGGCCCAGTGGTGTGACCCTAGTACGGTGCTGAACCTCTCTCTGCCTCAGTTTACCTACTTGTCAAATGGGAATGACAGACAGCCCTCCTCACACAAAAGCTTTTCTGAGGATTAAATGGGAACCAAGCCAGTGTGCCAAATAAGACACAGGGAAGCCAGGCCCCCTGGCAATCACCAACCCCCGGAAGCCAGTTACATAGGCCCTGCAAGTCTAGCCTGGACAGCAACCAGTGAAGAGGAGACAGGTGGGCAGGGTAGAGTCCCAGTGGAGACCCAGAGCTCTAGTCTCAGCCCAAATGACTGGAATCAGAACTCTGGATTTTTCCTCAAGTCTCGGCCTTTCCCTGCCCCCATCCCTGCAGATGCCTCCAGTAGCACCCAGAAGCCCACGCTTGGCCCCCTCCCACCCAGTGCTAGGCCTACAGCCCCTTCCACAACACCCCTGCCTGGTCTCTCTCACATGCCTGCCCCCAGGGCCTTGATAGGACACTCTCATTAACAGGGACACTTGAGGGGCCCCAGCCTCTCCAACCCTGACCACCGGGGGCCACATGGTGCTAGTCTTAACCCCACCTGCAGGCCCCTCCCCCCTCAGAGGTGAGAGCACAGGCTGAGGCATGGATGTCACAACAACGGGTTCACCCAATCCGATAGGGAACAAGAGAAATTTAATATAGGGAAGGTCACATCCAGGAGGCACATCAGCTCTGAGAAATGGCAGGGGGTGAACAGAGAGCGGGCCTCCTTCTTATGGTCCTGGGTAAAGTAGCAGAGGGGAGGCAAGCCAGGCTTGGGCTCCGGAATGCCCCCACCCCCAGGCCAGTAGCATGCTGGCTCCAACAGGTGGCACCCAACAGCTGCGGTGCGAAGCATGCACATCCAGCTGTCCATCCATCATGCACCCATCTGTCCACTCACCTGCCGACACTTGACAGCGCCCAGCCCTTAAACATAGGCCTCAGGGAGACGAGGCATTTCTGAAGGGCACAGAGTGAGGGGGCATAGGGAAGCAGAGCCCACAGGCCAAACGGTAGACATGACATGGGTTACAGGCCCCATCCTGTGCACTGAATAGCCATGGTCCAGGTTCAGCAAGGTCCCTGCATGCACCCATGACAGTCAGGGGGTCCAGCTGGAACTGACCAGTCTTGGGGACATGTTTGTTGCGTCCCAGCCAGTTTTCAGGCTTCAGGGCTCATGCAGCGCAGACAGGTAAATGGAGCTCACAAGGGCCCTGGACTGCCACCTGTACCTGGGGACACAGAGTCTACTCCCAAAGTTGGAGAAGGAACACAGCATGCCACCAAGAGGGCATTTCCAGGGAGAATGGGCATGCAGGGCAGTAACATGGCCAGGCAGCTGGCAGAAAGAACATCAGGACACACATTGCCAGTAGCACGTGTGCTGACAACACATCCACAACAGTCCGCACTAGGACCACCCACCTGGGGCGGCCCACCCTGGGGCAGCTGAGCCTGTAGAAGACACAGAAGACTTCCAGAGTTCCCTGGTGTACCCCCCAACCTCCCAGCTATCATCTCTGTGCTTGGCAAACCTTTCCCCCAAAACCACCTGAACCTTCCATGACTGGCTGTGACTGCCCTCCCTACCATTTCCCACCACAAAAAAAATCTCAGGGTCCAAACCCAGCCCTGCCCACAAAGGTCCCTCTGCCGTGGTGCCCTTCCCAACCCCTGCTGAGGAGGCCCTCCCTCCACCCAGATGGCTTTAGTGGAGTTGTCCAGCCTCCCTGGGCCACGCCAGGACTGGGCATCCTCCCACCCATCCACAGCTTTGGCCTAGAAGGGACATGGCCACCACCACCCAACCTCTGCCAAGGCTCTCCAGTCCTGTCCACTTCTCCCCTGGTCTTCCCTATCCCTCTGTTCTGGGGACTTCCCTGGATTCTGAGCCAAGGCACAAGGGCTGTCAGGGAGGGGACGGGCCCCAGCAGTCTTTTGGAGCCAGGACCAGGCAAGGTGCTGATCATGGGACAGGCACCTAACACTGCCACCATGGGGCATCACGTGCCCTCCCCAGATGGGCCAGGGAGCAAGTTCACCTCTTCATCCCCAGGTCCCTGCAGTTGGAGCCCAGCCCAGGGCCAAAGGGAGATGGCTAGCAGCAGGTGGATGGCCCCTGGCCCTGGAAACCCCAGCCCAAGGCTCACCCAGCTGGCTGCCCCCGCACCCATCACTGCACAGCTCTGACCAACTGCTGCAGGCAGGCAGCTGATATCCTGCCCAGGTCAGCTGTCCATCCAGCCCAGAACCAACAAAAGGCCCATTCTCTGAGATGAGGGCAGGCGGGGGCACCGGGGAGGATGTCTGGGCTGTCTAGGCTGCTTGCCAAGGCCGGCACGCGCCCTAGCTGCCCAGAGGCAGGGGGCTGCCCATCATGGCCTGGAACAGGAGGGAAGAGAGGGCTACTATGCCCATCCCAAAATGGCAGCCCTCATGTCTGTATCTGTGAAGTGGGGTTGCACTGACTGAGCCAATTCCTGGTGTCCAGATGGGGGTAGGGGTGAAATGAGGACAGGACCATGGGTAGGAAGACAGGCAGAGGACATGGGCAGCAGCCAGCGAGCTGGCCATGCACTGGGCTGGGACCTCACAGGCATTCCCCTTCTCTTGTAGATGCAGCTGCTAAGCCTGTTCCCCACCCAAGGGAGGTAAGGGGTCCTGGGAAGAGCTGTGCAAGAGGCAGGCGCCTCTGGAAGGACTCCCCAAAAGGCAGAGCCTGTCTTCCTCTCTCCTTCCTGGCCAGGGCCAAATGGCTGAGGCCTTGATAGACTCAGATCCCAAGCCTTCCTTACCCCTTCACAGGCTGCCATAGGATCCCCCATTCTCTGGCTGGGGTCAGGTTCCAGGCCCCTTACTGGGACCATTCTTAGAAAAATCAGGAATAATTTGATATTGAAAAAACAATTAGCAATTTCCCCTTGGCAGTAATTAGATAATTAAAACATAATTTACAAAAGGCCGGATGACTACAATTGGGCCAGACACACCTGTCAAGGTATAGGGAGAAGGTCTGAGGAATCCCACCCACAATCCTCGACACACAGACAGGAGAACAGGGACCAACCAACACAAGCAGTGGTCCTGCCTGATCCTCAGTCTCATCTGCCGACAGACAATAACCTCACAGGAATAAGTGAGAATTCAAAAGCTCCAGGTTCCAAAAGTTAGAGAGGCCAGCCTGCTGGAAGCTGCTCAGAGACTGGGCCCACAAATCTCAACCCTACTATAGGACAGAGGCGCACAGGTGCCCCAGAGAATCTGCCCACTGCCTTGGAAGCCGCATAAAGCTGGGCCACGAAGCAGTGTAGATTGTATGGCTTTCCATCACACATCATTGGCTAGGACTGTCCTCAGCCAGCATATGGCCAGGGTGCTTGCTGCAGCCTGAGATTTAACTGACACTTGGTACAACCACTGATGCTGTGGTAGCAGCAGTGACCATTCAGCCTAATATCCTTATCTCAAACCCAAAGCCAT